CACAATAGCCATTTACAATAAATTTACCGCATAAGCTGTACATATATCGCTGGTCTTATGATTATTTCGGTACAGGATTTTTGCATTTTAAGTCATCGTGCAATCATGCAAGAGCAAAATAATCCCCCTATTGAATAAACAACATATGAGACATATTTTAGGAAAATTGTTTCTTTTTATTCATTATATACTTAATTTTTTAAAATTTTGTTGGAAAAAATTCTAAACGAAATTTTAAAAGCACTCCAACTTTTATCATATGTCCTATTAACCAAGTTGTGTGGATCAACAATTCCATTATATATATACACTAGAGCGGGTCGATACAGCGAGCCAAAAAAAAATTTTGAACATCTGCTCCTAGTACAGTATGGGTCTAAAACCAGTTTTGAGCCAGCGAAATTTATATACAAATTTGTCATAAGATCTTTTGCCATTTCTTGAGATATCCGAATAAATTTTAATACATAGGGCCATATTGATAATTTGTCGGAATCGGTCAGATCATACATCGCCCACATAACCGATTATTCAGTCTTTTAAACTCTGCCTTCAGGGAGGCATTTTTTTTATAGATATTTTTGTAAAGAGATTTAACCAAAAAACAAAAAAAAAATACGTTTTTGAAACTTCTAAAGCGATTTCCCCACTTAAAATCTGTGGATCGAAATCGGTTTAAGACCCTTAGTTTCTCAGGCAAAAGTGTTCAGAATGACTCGTAAAATATTTCCACATATGCGATTTTAGAGTAAAAAAATCGATCCGCTCTATTTTATATACTATATACCATAATAAAAAATGACATTACGTACCCCGCCAACGAGACTTTCTGCAGGACCGTTGACTTTAGATAAAGTTGCTGAAGGATGGGGATCATAAGGGCTACCTATTTTTGTTAGCATCGCACGATCGTGGCCACGAATACCATTTGCTGTAATTTATTTAAAAAGTGTTGTAAAGGTATCATTTAGAAAACTTATATTCTAAATATATATAGTGCATCCACATACTCGTATATAAACACAATTTAGAGGATTAGTGTTGAACTCAACTCTAATATCTACTGGCAAGCTACAAACATATAACCATATTACGAGTACATCATTACAATATTGGTAAATCATTAAAAATAATCTTACACAAACGTAAATGAAGATATTTACCAGATTTAATTTCAATGTATGTACATATACCTATTATGCTGTTATTTTTAATGCACTAAACCTTCCTGCCGTTTTCAATAATATGGAAGCCAGACAAAAACCGTATGAATGAATTTATGAACATTTTATTATTGCAATATAGGTATGAATAGCATGATTTCTTAACTCCAGAAATAATGTAAAACAATTCATACAAAAAAAATGTTAGTCAAGATCATCAAGATGAATAAAGTTTTTTCTTCACACAGTAAACTCAAAAGTCAATCTCAAATATATTTAGCTTTTACCCACATTAGGGTATTGTGAAAGTATTGACAGTCAATTTTTGGCAATACCACATATTACTAACAGAAAAATATGCTCTCTGAGTTTCATTTAGGTAGGTATAGTTTTCATATATGTCTCTACATGCATTTATAATTTGGGGTAGATGTATAGAAAGCTTAAAATTTATACTATCACAATTCGAGTTTTCAACAAAAATTATATTTTCCAAGCGGTGTGTTTAATTAGGCACACCTAATTTGAAATTTCAATTTTTTTTTCGTATACCATTACCATTTATACCATTAAAAATCGATATCCCAAATAGTTTTAGTTACACCTATCCTATCGGTTTATTCAGCTTTATCAGTTTATTTTTAAACGCTTTTTTCTGAAACAGCATTTTTCAAATTTGCTACAGTCATAATCTTTAGTCACCGATCATTACGAAAATTTTGTCAGCTTATTCTATATGTACGGTACTACTGTTTTTTTGATCTGTTCAAAAATCGAATTTTGGTAAGACAAATCGACCAAAACTTGGTATCATATTCAAATTTTTCTTAAAATGCGGACATTTTGTAAACCCTTGATTTTGCTTTTTAATCGTTGGACATTGGGCGTAGAATATCTTTTACTTTAAGGAAAGAATTTTATTTTTTTGGTTTCATCAGCGGAAGTGCTGTCAGAGATCAAAAAATAAAAATAAAATATATTTTTGTTTTCAAAAATTTTTATGTGTTTTCTTGAGACATGTATAAAAATATGTACATCCTGAAATGTCAGGAGTAAGTAAAGTAGCATAATTGAGTTAATAATAAATAAACCCATAAAAACAGTTACCTGCAGTGAAAATTTATTTAATTGTGAATAAAAAGTCGGAATTTAATATAAATTTTCAATTACGCACACTTCAATGAAACATATTTTGTAATAATTATATATAACATTGTAACCAAAGAAATTTACTCTCTAACGAGCACATGCATGTATTAAAAGAAATGTTGAAATTATAAATTTAGAATTTGTTTGATTACAATAATTAGATTAATGAAGCAATAATGTTGAGTTCTTAAGAGGATTCTACCTATTGCTTTGAAGGTTTTTGGATTTATCGAGATTTACGTAGTTATAGTCACACACGAATAATAGTTAGGTACAACATGTAAACGCGGATTCCTAAAATATATATAGTATAAGAACAAACATTTTCGATCCACATAAGTTTTATTATGTACAAAAGTTTGGGTCGAAAGAAGTGTTGTGAGAAACCACTATGAATAAGATATGTCATATTTGAAGTAATAAAATGTAATTTGAACCTGTTGAAATGTGTAGGACGAGCTTCCATATTTGTTAATGTTGAGAGTGTAGCGACGCTATCACCGGTGTTATAACTGCAAGATCGGATGCAATAATTGTCAAATACAATGAAATTCTTATACAAATTTTGATGCCTTTTCGTTAATAACCTACCTCAGTCACATTTCAAATAACCCTTCGTTTTCAAATTAAATTCATAAATATTTTTGGGTATTAATTTATGAAAAATTGTTCCTGTTTATATATAAAAGCATATAAATTAATAAATTATATATAAATTAATGTGCATATATGTTTACATATACACGCTTCTAAAAATGTTCCCAATACGATGTTTCAGCAATGCGAGGTCCTTTGACTCAACCCATTGGAACTAGGAAAGAAAAAATTGTGGCATTTATAAATTTGTTTGTACTTTCTTATGAAATCATTGATAATCTAGAATAAAACTATGTCGACTTTATGAAATTCTACTTTACTTGACATGTGTCCACTTGAGGAAACTAGTGGATGTTGAAAATATTCTTAATAAAGAAACTCACACATCTTATATGTATACTGCATTCATATCTATATGTATGTAGTGAAGCGCAATTTTGTTATCTATTTGTATAGCGTCAGACCTAAGCACGGTAAGATGAGACAGTTATTCGTTTATCAGATCCAGATCCGTTATGACCAGATAATATAAAAGAAAGTCGTTTTATTTACACAATTTATAACTCAAGAACGGCTGAACCGAATTAATTGACATTTGATGGAGAAGTAGCTTAGAACCAGGGAACGGACATATTCATATTAAAAAATTATTTTAGATCATAAGCATGTGTTCATTATTAATGTACGAATCATTTGAATAATTGTTAGATACAAAAAAAAAAAAATAACATCCCATAGCTTACTGCCGGGATACCGCTATTTTTTTACATACATATACAGTAGAAATACAAATTTAACTCGCCAACCTTCGGCTAAGTTGACCGCTAAAAAGTTAACTTTTGGTTAACTTTTCTGAACTTATCTATTTATTTTTCAAACTCAACCGTTTCTTTGGCAAGAAATTCTATGTATTCCCCGAATTTCTATGTAAAAATTATTGTCAGGTATATATATATATTGTGCGAGTTATATATATATATTGTTTGTCATGGGCTTGTGAGTTGTTTATAGTAGTGTAGTAGAAAATATCAACAAAGCACGAAAAGACAGCACCTGACCGAAAAATATCTAACGATAGAATCACATTTATGTTGTTTAGAGCGCGGATGGTTCGCATAAGTTGAAATCACTGATAATTGGTAAATCCGCATCGCGCGTTGCTTTAAAGAGTTTGAAAACCAATTGAAATAAGCCAAATCGCAAAGTCTTGGATGAATTCAGACGACTTCGGCAGGTACAATCGTTATAAACCAAGGTGGGTGGTGTTGACGACAGCAGTCGAAAATTGGAACGACGATCCAAATACGGAAGATGACGCAGATTTCGAAGTGTCTGACAATGAAATTGAAAACCCAGTTATCAAGGAGAATATGCAATAACAGAAAGTGAGTTTTCCGGAAACGGTTGAATGCATCAATACCTTACAAATTGGTATGAAAACAATAATGATGCAAATCAGATATTATCTTATTAATAGGCTCACGAAAATTGTTAGAATTATTACACAAAAGAAAAGATACAAGTCAAAGTCTCGACCGTTTCTTTAAATCAGCCCTTGCAAATTAATATGTACAAATGTATGTATAATGTGAAACTAAATCTAAGTTTATGTTTTGTTACTAAAAAATGTGAGTCCTGCAAATAATTTGAACGTATTATATCACCGAAATCTTTATTTATGATTTTTTTTTCAAATTCAAAACCCTTTTGGAAAAGTTAATATAATATATTAGGCTGCCAAAACAGTGTTGCTGTATTTTTATTGAATTTTCAATTGTTCATATAATTTTTTTTGATGACTCATGCCCAGCTCTTGACCGATGCTAAGGCTGCTACTATGCCGGTCTCTTTCGACCAATTCAGCGATTTTATCGCAATTTTCGACGACAGGCCTTCCGGAGCGTGGCGCCTCTTCGACCACCTCTACACCAGAACGAAAACGTTGAAACCATCGTTGTGCGGTGGAAATGGAAACTGTATCGGGTCCATAAACTGCACAAATTTTATTGGCGGCTTGAGATGCATTTTTGCCTTTATAGTAGTAGTACTCTACATGTGCTTTATTTTGCTCCATGTTTGCGACGCTATAACTCACGAACGACTTAAAAGTGTTAGCGCATGAAATGAGCTTTCCAAAAAGGTATAGAATGACCCGATGCGACGAATAAAACTAGAACCACGCGCTCTCAGCGCCAATAGTAAAACACTCTTTTGACATTTAATTAACTTTTCCGAGATTCTTCTGTACATATGTATATGGATTTAGATTATATTCATTGATGTTTATAGACAAGGTTATTTTTTGATAAAAAATATCGGAATAATGGCAATTCTCGATGAGTGCATGATATCCTTCACAACAAAGTGATACGACTTCCATACGAGCAGAGCAGCGTATTTAGGGCTAGTAAAGAATAGTAATAAAAATATACAATTGGTTCGTACGTAAAACTTCTGCGGTATTACAAAAGAAATTTATTAGGTGAAAGTAGTGCCAATAACCACATTCCGTAATAATTCTTTATGAACCCGCGACATACCGCATACAATTGTAATTAGAATTAATATGCAATATTCTGAACAGCAATGCTTAAACGCTCAAGAAGAGAAATATTGAACAATGACACCTAGGAAATAATTAACGTATTACCAATTAGCGGTGATATTGTTTTTATATATAAAAGACGTAACATCAAGCCCTTCCAGCTGGGAGTTTATAATAATAGTGAGGTATGAATGATTAATTAATTAATTTTTATGCAAGCTTCCAAAAATTAAAAACCTTAGTTGATGTTAAGAATAAAAGAAGATGCCTGCAAAGAAGTTTTCAGAATTTTGCAACGTCTTCCCAGAGTACAAGGCCCACTTTTTGGATCACATATAACACATACAACAGCGTGATCAAAAGTGTTGAACTTCATTTCCAATCATCCAAAAGAGGAAAATATTCTATAATATTTTCTTCAATACTATAAATAAAATCAGTATATAGTCTAAAATTGCGCAGAAAGATAGTTCGAAAAACAACAACAACAAAAGTTAAGAAATAAGAACTATTTATAAAACAAATTAGTACACATTTTTATTATAACCAGTGGTGAACAATTGGAATAAATATTAGTAGAATTTTGGATTAGATGCCGTGAAAATTCATTAAAAATTAAGGGCTACGTAAAAAATAATGACATTTTAATAATCAAACTTCTTTAGAACGCAAAAAAACTCATAAAATCAATAAGCAAAATAATAAACGATTTTAACCTAAGGATTGTCTTCCGTATGGTCTTACCATTATTGTAAGGGAGCACTGAAAACCCGGGGGTAGAGCTGCTGAAATGGAATTCCGGTATAATTGTAAACAAACATATGAAAAATTAAGTAATTAAAAATATCTCTAGAGAATTCAACAACAGCACGTTCCATATAATCGTAAAATCTGATTTGCTTGCACACATACATATTAGTTATTTTCCAAAACTGGTAATTAGCTAAGAAATTGTAATACGAGTAATGTATTTTGAATTTACTAACCTAATATCACTTAACTAATACTAATGTTTTCCAGAGTAGGCTATATTATTTGATACTCATGATACACAAAGCTAAAAATTAAAAAAAAAAGAGTTGTTTGAAATATACAACTAATTAAAATTCATTGTTTCTATTTTTATGTTATGATAATAGAATTATTATTATAATCTCATGTCTTGAACGCATTCGATTATTGGCTTAATTATTATTATTATTTATGCCGAGGCAAAAATTAAAATGTGAATAATTACTTCATTTAGTCATCTACCAATCCAAATACGGGCGTTATGTAAAATAGTGGCTTATATAATCAAGTAAATACTACAGCAAATTTACCGGAGCACATAATATTCGTTTTATAACTATATATTTCAGTAGTACTTACTCATAAGATTCTGTTGTAGCAAATAGACTTTCTTGATTTGTCATGTACTCTGAAGTAAGAGTTAGCAAGTTATTACCATCGTCCCTATTCATGACAAGTGGCCGCAAGGATATGCTCTCACTAAATGTACGAAAGTTACCAGGAGCATTAAAGTCATGGTATTCAATGGAATTACTGCCACCGCATTCAGTCGGTTCGGAACCAAATCTCGCTTGAATCAGACTTTTTGTAATATGATTTATGCTATCAGATACATTGCAGCCGTTGGTGTCGTACATCGGATTCAAATTAGACGAGTCAGCAGCAGTAGGCGTTGATTCGGTACCACCAATATCTCCATTTAACTGCGATTTTTTATTTTTCCGATCATGCCTAAAGCTGTTACCATGTCGTCGAAACGATGACCACACTGTCCCAAACAGCGTATGATGCCTCTAATGTAAAAAAGAACTTGTTTTATAAACCGGGCATATCTACATATAACAAATGCAAAATACCCTATGCATCGGCTCAGGTTCCTCAGATAGCTCGTCTAAGTTTCCGGAAATCGCCCGTTTCAATGCTGGTGATACTTCATGTAATGTTCGCAATCCCGCTTGTAGTGTTAGAGTCGCATTTTCAGACTGTCCTTCTTTACCTTCTTGTTCCTTTCGTTTTTTAAATCGTCTGAAGTAATCCTGAATCAAATATGTGGCATAGAATTTTCCAACGGTAACCTCGTCATCATTTCCTGGTGGTGGTACCACCTGATCCAAGAGTTTAGGACTGGTACGTTTCCAAATTTGTTTTATTGTTGCTCTTAATTCCGCATTAGCCTCGTCAATATTTCCATCAGTTTTTATGCTTAGTGATGTTCTTACAACTGCAAACAGGGTTGCATTGAAAAGAACAGTACCATCAGAGTTTAGCGGCATATTCATGGAAACAAGTCTTTTACATGCCATTCGATGTGGACAAAGTTTACCAAATCCTAACGGAGGTGAAATTTTCCGTAAGAGCGTAACCACGTCTAAATGTTTTATGCGCCCTTTAGCATCTGGATCGTATTCACTCCAAAGGCGGATGAATTCATCCAAATGATGGGGTCCGAGAATCGACCAATCGCGAGTCAAATAATCAAAGTTATCCATTATAACAGCAACAAACAAATTGATAATCTAAAACAGTTATGAAATCAAATGATCAAATTATTTTAAATATATGCAACTTACAAGGAACGAGCAAAGAACGTAGAAGGATATAAAGTAAGGAAATGCAATATTTGACCCACAATCTTTGGTCATATCGGATTTCGGATCGCAACGTACATCTTCGTCTGTCGAACAAGACATCATTATTTCTTGCCAGCCTTCCCCCGTTGCAGAACGAAAAAGGACTAGTACTGCCTGTGGAAATGTTTGGAAATTATTATTCCGGTGTATGGCGGTCTCGTCACTCAGATTGATTTTTCCGAAAACCTAAATTTTACTTTTTATTTATGTTAATTGTTATGTTATCAGTATTTTACATGCCTGCATTCCAATAACCGCATAAATAAAAAACAACATAATTATTAACAAAGCTACATAAGGAAGAGCTTGGAAAGATTTGATAAATGTCCACAGTAGTGTCCGAATTCCTTCTCCTTTGCTCAATAATTTAACCAAGCGCATAACGCGGAATAAACGGAAAAAGTTTATTGATATCAAATTTGATCCCGTCTGTAAAACAAAACAACCAAAGCGGTACAATTAACAAGTTGTGGCTTTGGCTATTGATAATTACGAAATATATATGCAAACCTTGGCCTTCGCTTTGCATCCCTCTACGATGTCACAAGGCAGAGATGAAGTATCCTTATTCTTAAACCAAAGAAACATTGAGGAATTATATCTTAAATTAAAAATGTACACTAACCTAGAGAAAAGTTGAAAAAATTTATTATTATAAACAAACTATTAACTTCACATTTTTAAAGTATTTAATTTGAGTTCCTTAAAAAAAATTAATCTCATATAATGAATCGCAAAATGTGTTGCTAAGCGTATAACTCA